GGAAAGGGAGGGATATGGGTGGGGAAAAATAAAGGGGGCATCACGATTAGCATGTATAATGTGGGGGGAGGCATGGGGAGGGCTGTGCAACACAGACAAGCAGTGATTCTACAGCATCTTACTATGCTGATGGACAGTACTGTAATGGGGTTTGTGGGGGGAATTCAGTGAAAGGGGACCCAAGTAAACATAATATTCTACATGTAATTGTAGATTAATGACAACAAAATAAATTAATTTAAAAAAATGTAAACTGATAACATCCTTTAAAAAATATAATAACCTGAGACTTCCAGTAAGATGGTGGCATAGAGAGAGCTTGAACCCACCTCCTCCCACCTTCACATGGAACCTACACCTGTGCACAGGGCACCTCATCCTGAGGAAGAACCAAGCGCTAACTGAGCACCTGCACAATGAGGGACAGAAAGAGCACACACCTCAGGACAGACAGACGCCGAAACACAGGGAACGCCACCCCCAGTGTGATGACCTGCAGAGGGGCGGTGTACTGCTGAGGGACCTGGTCACAGATTCCCTGCCCTGAGGCAGAGAAAAAAAGCTGCACTTTGAAGTGCATCTATATTGTAAGGGGAAAAAACCTAGTTTACAGAACTAAAATACAAGCTGGAACTCTCCCCAGATTGGAGGTCTGGAGAGCACTATTGTTTGTAGTCCTTCATCACACTGATAGTGATGTCAGGAGCAGGGCTGGGGTGCACACACTGATTTCAGATTTGGTTTAAGTGGCTTCCCAGCCCACACCCACACCCACACCCAGGCTCATCAGCACTGGAAAGTGCATTTGGACTGCAGCTGCCATGAGGTCACAGAGCCCATCGCATATGCCTCCCTTAGCCACCGCTGGGGCTTCCCTGCAGCCAGTCATTGCCACATGCCTGAGCTGGTGCTGCACCGTGAACTTGGACTTGGAGCCAGTACCCATGGAAGTGGGGATTTCCTGGGGGCTGCACACCCCTGGAGAGTGCACCTGAGCTGCTGCTGCACCCTGGGCATGAAGCAGGTAGCTGTGGAGGTGGGGAGACCATACCTTGACCTACTACCTCCCTACCAGCATGGACCCTATGAATATCCATTTAGGTACCCCTCAGACTGACCCCTCCAAGTGTGTCTCCTCCCTTAGACCACACCCTGAGAGCTCTGACACCAGGAAATCCCAGCTAATGTTCACAAGTCCTCCAGACAACTAGTCAAAACCACCAGGCACACATAGTCTGCCCAGGGGCCTCCCCTACACAAGACCAGTCCTTCAAGACTAGGAGAGGTAGCCCTTTCTACTAATTCATAGAATCAAGCACAGAAAGCCAGACAAAATGAGGAGACAGAGAAATACACTTGAAATAAAACAACATGGCAAAACTTGGGAAAAAGAATGAAATGAAACAGAATTAAGCAATCTACCAGATAAAGAGTTCAAAATAATGATTATAAAAGTCCTCACCGGACTTGAGAGAAAATTGGAATAACTCACTGAGAACCTCTACAAAGAGACAGAATACAAAACAGAACCAATCAGAGATGAAGAATACAATAAATGAAATGAAAAATGCACTAGTGGGAATAAACTGTAAATTAGAGGATGCAGAAGAATGAGGTCATCAGTTTGGAAGACCAAGTAATGGAAAGCACTCAAGCTGAACAGCAGAAAGAAAAAAGAATCAGAAGAAATGAGGAAAGGACTGAGACAATATCAAACATCCAAATGTTTGCATTATAGGAGCCACAGAAGGAGAATGGAGAAAGGAGTAGAAAACTTATTTGAAGAAATAAAAGCTGAACCCACAGACCAATGGAACAGAATAGAGAGCCCAGATATAAGCCCATGCACATATGGCCAATTAATATATGATAAAGGAGTCATGAATATACACTGGGGAAAAGAGAGCCTTTTTAACAACTGTGTTGGCAAATCTGGACAGTTAAATGCAAGAGAACGAAACTGGATTATTATCTAACTCCATACACAAAAGTAAACTCAAAATGGACCAAATACCTGAATGTAAGTCATGAAACCATAAAACTCTTAGAAGAAAACATAGGCAAAATCTCTTGAATATAAACATGAGCCCCTTTTTCCTGAACACATCTTCTCAGTAAGAGAAACAAAAGCAAAAATGAACAAATGAGACTACATCAAACTAAAAAGCTTCTGTACAGCAAAAGACACCATCAGTAGAACAAAAAGGCATCCTACAGTATGGGAGAATATATTTGTAAATGACTCATCTGATAAGGGGTTCACACCCAAAATATATAAAGAGCTTACACACACCTCAACACCCAAAACACAAATAACCCAATTAAAAAATGGGTGGAGGATATGAACAGACAATTCTCCAAGGAAGAAATACAAATGACCAATAGGCACATGAAAAGATGCTCCACATCACTAATCATCAGGGAAATGCAAAGTAAAAACACAATGAGATACTACCTCACACCAGTTAGGATGGCCAATATCCAAAAGACAAGGAACAACAAATAGTGAGGATGCATAGAAATAGGAACCC